AAAAAGAAAATGTGTGTATGTGAGGGAGGAAAAGCTATGGCACCCATATATATTTTCGAGGATTTTCGAGATCTACGTCGTTGTTCGTCGTATTGGTGAAAAGAACAATCGATCTTTTCAAAAGGGATGTGAACGCGAGATCGTTTTTTTATGTAGAACGTAGGAAAAATTTCCAACTTGTTATCCGATGTGTAAAAATTTCCGTAGAAGAGAAGATAAGGATAAGGTTCTTTCTTTTTTTTTTACTTTTTTTTCTTTCTACCCCCCTTTTGAAGCTTTTATATACGTACGAACAAGGAAAAAAATGTTAAACAAACACAATCGTCAATAAAAGGGTGAACGATAGAAATCTGGAAAAAGTTTACCCCCCAAAATACTTTGTACTTCTCCAACCCTCATGTAAAAACTTATGATTCTGTTTGTTATTAAATTTATCAAAGAAAATAGATAAAAAAAAAAAAACATATTCTAAGAAATTATCTTATTAAGGAAAACATTGCAGTTCTCATCACACTTTTTTGTAAATTATGAGTAATGATAATTATTATATCAAGTATTATTATAATAAATGAATGGAAATATGAAAATATTTTGAAATTGTATGTAGGATTAAAAACTATATAAATATAAAATATAAAATAGAAAGAAAAGTTTTGCTAAAATATTTTGAAAATTATGATTCTGTTTGTTATGAAATTTATCAAAAAAAAAAAAAAAAAAATAGTGAAAAAATTCTATAAAATTATTTTTTTTTTAAATAAAAAAAATTGCAATTAACAATATCTTGTAAATTATTTGATATAAAAAATAGGAATATATTTTAATATTATTATTATTATTATTAACACGTTCCGTGTCACGTGTACAATCGGTAATACACTTACCATTTTATGCGTTGAAAATATATGTTTATAACAAATTTAATTTTGCAAAAGAATATTTCTATTAAAATATTGATGCATTATATAAAATGCAGTACAGTACAAAGCACATAAGTTTGTATACTTGTTACATTAACAATAATTAATAATTACATGTAATGATTGAATTTGTTAAAACAAAATTAAATAGTCTGCATGACTTTGATGAATGAAATTGAATGAAATTCAATGAAATTGGAAATACTTTGAAATGGTATATATGGGTTCAAAACTACATACACATATAAATATAAAATATAAAAAGAAGACAAAAATTGTTAGAAAAAGAATAGAAATGAATGTTGATAAAGTTCTTTTCAAAAAGAAAGTATGTAGATCGATTCGTCATAAAAGCTTCGTTGACACTTGGTACGAAGAAAAGATTTGATAAAAGGGTGGAATAAGAGAAGGAAGAGAAAAAGAATGGAGAATATAAGAAATAAAAAAAAAAAAATAAAAATAAAAAAAAAGAAGAGAAAGGAAGGAAGGAAGGAAGGAAAAAGGAAAATGTTAGAGATCGAGAGGACTATTGGCAACGGGGCCGTCATCGTGAAAATAATATCCGAAGAATTTCCATTACGGCAAGAAGTGCCACCCACTCCCAACGCACACCCACCACCCTCCTCCTCCTCCTCCTCCTCCTCCTCTTTCTCTCATATAGAAAACCTACAACGAAATAGAAAAGAAAACAAAAAAATAGAAGAAAAGAAGGGAAGAATAAAAAATTGAATCGTTCTTCTTATCGACTGAGAAGAAGAAGAAGAAGAAGAAGAAAAAAGAAAAAAGTCACCGATACGATCCCCTATCAACCATTTTTTTTCTTCTTCTTCTTCTTCTTTCAAAGTTTAACCCCGTTTTATTTTTATTTTTTTTTTTTTTTTAATTATTTTTCTTTTCCATTTGTTTTTACACGAATTGTTTAATACTCTATGACGTAACATTTAAATAAAATATCGCTGAGTGAAACGATAATTAAAATATGTAATATAAGAATAAGATANTCGCTGAGTGAAACGATAATTAAAATATGTAATATAAGAATAAGATAAATTATGAACTTTTAATATTACAATAATTTGTTTTATTATTTAAAAAAAATAAAAAAAAAAATAAAATAAAAAGGAATAAATATAATTTAGAAAAATTTGAACAAAAATTAATAATTATTAATAATATGATTATTAATATTAAAAATTATATTATTATATAATAATTTGTAATGTAATTATATTTAATATATTATAAAAATATTAAATAGATTATTATATATTAATATATAATATATTATATTATTATTCTAATTGGTGGCAAGAACTGTTGGATCACCCTATATATAAATTATATTATAATATTATTATTTATAAAAATTAATATTATTATATAAACATTGAACACAAAAATTAATAATTATATTATTATTATTATTATTAAATAATTTATAATATAATATATTTAATATAAATATGTATATTAAATATTATTATTGTTATTTAATAAATTTATTTAATAAATTAATATTAATATTATAATATATTAAATATATTATATTATTATTCTACTTGGTAGGAAGAACTGGTGAATCACCTTATATATAAATTATATTATTATATTATTATTAATAAAAAATTAATATTAATATATAAACATTTTAAATTAACTAATACTCTATAAAATAAAATTATTAAATTTATTTAAAGTGCCAACATTATTTTTGTTTTGGTCATACGTTCATTTATCGAACAAATATTTGTTATCAAATAAATATAATTAAATAAAATATATATTACACACTAAACGTGAAATATTATACAAAATTGAATAAAAAAAAAAAGCTTTTTAAAATTGTTAAGTAAATTATTAAGTATCGATATCTAACGAAAATTTATAAAAAGTGGTGCAATAGAATTTGATGAAAACAAATCATCCGAAAAAATGGTCAAAATTCTTTTTTTTTTGTTTTTTTTTTGTTTTTTTTTTTTTGATAAATATCATCGTACAGTTTTACTGTTGAAAGGTATGAAAATTCGTTTATTGACAATTTTTCCGATAGCACTGGACGAAATGTAGTCTGACAACTACTAGGGAAATATACGAGTTCAAAATTCTAACTCCGTTCTATTCGCAAATTTCATAAAGCTACCAACGTTACCAGAAATTCTAAAAGCTACGTGAGATGGGCTCGTAAACCAACGTTCCAAAAAACGTTACTTAACTTACTTTATTTTCTTCTTTTTTTTTTTTTTTTTTTTTTGACTATTATTCCACGTGAGAGTTTATGATGGACATATAGATTTCACCATATCGATGGTTTTTTTTTTTTATTTATTTTTATTTTTTTTATTTCTATCACTCACTCTCTCTTTTTATATTTGCTTTTTACTTATCTTAATAATTTATCTTACTTAAAAATAATATTTGACATTTTATTCATTCTTTGAGAGAGAACTTAAAAAGGGGTTCAGATTTCACAAAAAAAAACAAAAAAAAACAATGTAGTTATATTTTTTTTTTTTATATTACAAGTACCATTGATAATCACACACACACGATGGTTGGGTTTGAAAAATTGTTAATTTCTGCAGAAAAAAAAAAACAAAAGAAAAAAAACGTTGAATTCTGTTGTTGCAAATAAAAGTCCAATTCGTTTTATAAAAAAAATAAAAAAAAAAAGAATATTATGTATGAGTTTGAATAAAACTCAATTAGAATTTAGGAAAACGTTGAATTTTGTTGTTGCAAATAAATGTCCAATTCGTTTTATAAAAAAAATAAAAAAAAAGGAATATTATGTATGAGTTTGAATAAAACTCAATTAGAATATAGAAAAACGTTGAATTTTGTTGTTGCAAATAAAAGTCCAATTTGTTTTATAAAAAAAAATAAAAAGAAAGAATATTAGGTATGAGTTTGAATAAAACTCGATTAGAATTTTTTTGTCAATTAATTCACGTAAAAATATATGAATCTATTGTTAAAGGAATATAAATAAAATTGTTGTCTAGCATTATAATTTATGATTTAAACAAAAAAAAAATTGTTTAACGTATACGTGAGTAAGTTCGTTGATAATTATTACATTGATAATTACTTTTTACCGAATACATTTATCTTCGGATAATAACATTCGTCTAACACACACATATATGCATTCGTAACGTTCAAAGGAAAAAAAATTACATATCTGTGAAAAAAAAAAAAAAAACTAGAAAAAAAAAAACAGAAATAAAAGGCAAAAGAATTTATGAAATCGTAATTGGCAGATTTGTGTGTGACTTTTTAATTACGAGTATGAACATTTCAATAAGGTCTTCTCACATTTCGTAATGACCTTTAATTAAACATCACTCGTAAAAATATTCATAGGAACGTGTAAAATCTTAAAAAAAAAAAAATATTAAAAAAAAATGAAAGTTAACTTATGTTTAAATAAATTTGATTTTTTTTTTGTTTTAACATTTGTTTTTATTATTATTATTATTATTATATTATCATTCAAAATAAAATTTGTATTTGAATTTATTGTAATATTTGGTAGATGTATTTTTTATCGTTGAACAAAAAGAAAGAAAAGAAAGAGAAAGGAACACACATCTACACAAAAACACATATGGTTACTGTTTCAGGAATGTCAACCAGAATTTTTGCACGACCTCGTGTTAAAAATGAAAGCCTACATCTTCACACCCGGTGATTCTATATGCCGTAAGGGTGAAGTAGCTAGAGAAATGTTCATAATAGCGGACGGTATACTCGAGGTAATCAGCGAAACTGGAAGAGTTCTTACTACGATGAAAGCTGGTGACTTTTTTGGTGAAATCGGCATACTCAATCTCGACGGATTAAATAAGTAAGTTGCATAATATTCAAATATAGATCTTAATTTCTTTTTTTTTTCTTTTCTTTTCTTTTAAATAACAAAATAATCTATTACTATCTAATTGAAATACCAAAATTACAAAAAGTTTCTTTTGATCGATTTATATATATATATATATATATATATATAATTATTAATATTATAATTTATAAATATAAATATGTTTTAATTATATTATATTTTATTATGTTTATATTTTTATATTTATTTTATATATTTATTTTTTTATGTTTATATTTATATTTATTATATTATATATTTATATATTTTTTATATTACAATATATAAATATTTATATATTAAAATAAATATTAGTACAAATATTATACTTTAAAAATATAAATATTTTTTTATATCATATTACTTTTTTTTATATTATATAAATATTTATATAATAAATATATATAAACTTTAAAACTATTAGGTATAGAACTTTACTATTACGTTTAAAAAAAAAAAAAACAAAACAGAACAAAGATAATTCTATAAAATATGAAAATTTCAGACGAACAGCTGACGTACGTTCGGTTGGTTATTCAGAATTATTCAGTTTATCGCGAGAGGATGTATTAGCAGCAATGAAAGATTATCCTGAAGCACAAGAAATATTACAAAATCTTGGTAGAAAACGTTTGATGGAGGCACAAAGGGTTGCACGAGCATCAAGACAACCAACCTCACCTGGTCACGATTCATCCGACAATAGTACCGGTAAAAGAATTGTCGACAAGTTAAAGAGCGATGTTAAAGTTTGGAAAAATGTATTAAGAAAAAGTAGACGTAATAATAGACCAGAGGAGAGTTTAGAATTGCAACCATTGACATCTAAAGCACCCTATTGTTCAATGAAGAGACAACGACATAAAACAACGACGGAAGATGTACAAGAACCAATGATAACTAATACCATTCAAGAACCACCTGTATCACCGTTGGGTGCTGGATTACCTTTATTATCAAGACTGAAATTACTCAAAGAAAAAGAAGAACGTGAGGAGAGACGTAATTTAATGGAAACGCAAGTGCACGCGTCTGAACAACAACCACCACCAACTGAAGCACTTGTCCCAACTAATCCTAATTTATCGTTCACGCAAAGGGTACTTTTATTGAAAGCTAGAAACGAACAAGAGGCACAAGCACAAGCTGAAAAAGAATCAACAATGAAAGAACAACCATTATTAATATCCAAAAATTCGATAGTTACGGAAAATCTTTCGGATGACGTTACAAAAGAAACACAACAACAAAAGATTGTTGACAAAATTTCTATACCAAAAGTAACAGCCTTGTTGGATAAACGACAACCAACTCAATCTTCTAACAACGTTATGGTAATGCCCAAAATACCAACAGCCGTAACATCGATAGATAGTTTATCAATAACAACAATAACAACAACAACTAACAACATTGTTATCTCGAATGGTACTACCAACGTTAAGAAACCATGGGCTATGTTGAAAGATGCATCATTGACTACTACAACAACAACAACTGCGGCAACTTCTTTAATGTCGTCTTCCACGTTAAAGGATAATTCACCTCAAAGAAGTTCACCAATTAAAAGACCACAAACTAAACAACAACATAGTCTTGCACATCTAAGACAACAAACTAAAATGTACGCTTCCGTTGATGATCTGTCACCTGAATATTGTGGCCTACCGTTCGTTAAAAAGCTCAAAATATTAAACGAAAGACAAAAACTTGCCGAACTAGAAAAAGCTGTGAGAAGTTCTAGCTTGGATTGTGGTGAAAATTCTGATTATACTACTTTCGATGGGAATTTAACGCGTAGCCATTCGGAAGCGTGTGCAATCGAATATGTCAGAAAATTGGCTAAACTTAATCAAGTAAGGGTAAGTAATAATTGAATTAATTTTATTATAAGATTTAATTGTTTGTCAGAAAAATATTTAACGCTAGAACTATCAATTGGGTTTAACTATTTGACGGAGACAAATATTTTTAACTAAAATGATTTTCTAGAGGTGGAATAATTTATTATTGCTACGACTGTTTTTGTTGATTGATATACCATTAATTAAAGTTTTTATATAATTTTAATAATCAATACACAAAAGGAGGTTTCATTATTTTATATTTATATTACCAATTGTTACCAAACGCATATATGCGTCCATAGTATAATCAAAGGGTTAATTAAAAATAATAAAATAGCAAATGTCGTAATATTCTTTTAAAAATTGTAATAATTTCGAAATGAAGTAATAAATAATCCGTAATTTAAATTCTAATTAATAAGTTCTAGCGTTAATAAATAAGAAGACAATAATATTCTTCATAAACTAACATGAATGAGATATTTAAAAAAAAAAAAAAAACCTGAAAACACACAGGATCAAAAGAGTCCATCAACGCCAGCGGAACAATTGTCCCCAGAAAACGAGACACTAGAAAGGCGAGATTTAAAGAGCATCTTAAAGAAACTCTCAGCAAGTAGTAGAACGGGTAGTTCAGATACTTCAGCAACTAGTATACCAGATCGTGAAGCAGCTACTGCTGAATTGAGACGATTAATGAGAGCTCAAACTATCGAGGGTTATGCAGCTAGACATACGAAATTATCTAAAAGTGTAACATTTAATAAATATACATTACAAAGTCCGCCGTCCGAGCAAAGTCCAGGAAGTTATTCTCTCGGGGATCAGTTGTCCGAAACTCAGGAACAGGCCTCCTCGCTGTCACCGCCCAATAAAACAACTTTCCGTCCTCTTGGCAGTAGGGATCTTCTGCAAATGACAACTAGAAAACGAGAGGACGAATATCTTGGAGAATTGGTGTCCGGTATTAGAGAAGTTGTACAAACAAGTTTGGTAAATATATATTGCATACACACACATATGTTCATTTTTAATATTATTATTATTATTATTAGAATTAATTAAATTAAATAAAAACCACATACATACATATATATATACACACACACACACACATAAAATAAATTTTAATATTTTTTAGGAAGACATACAAAGTAAATTCGTGTCATTGGAATTGGAGATACACAAACGTGACGAAATAATATCCCAACTTCAAGGTAGGATACAAGAATTGGAGGAAAATGAAAGAAAAAAAAATGAAGCAATGGGTATAGGTATGGGTATGGGTATGGGTATTGGGGATGACAGTACAGCACACGATACTTCGTTAGAGGAAGATTTGGATGACGATAATGAGAATAAGTATGACGATGATGACGATGACAACAACCACGACGATGAAGACGACGATGATGACAACGACGAAGACGACATTGAAGATGACGATGATGATGACGATGACGATGATGGGGAGGATCATCCATTTATGAGAGATGGTTCAGTTGATACAGTTTTAACTGCTCGTTCTCGAGCTTATGGACGACCTTCCCCACCGAGCAGCGAATCAATGCACAATAGAAAATCTTGGGAAGAACATTCCGAGGAAGAAACTTTAGAATTACAGGAATTACCTAGATCGATAGTTCCACAAAGTTTGTGGAGAGACGAAGTAGTAATAGATTTGGAATCCAATAGCGAAAGTAGCAAATCAGAAAATGACGAAGGTGGTGATATTAGTGGTGGTGGTGCTCGTGGTAGTGGTGGTGCTCGTAGTGGTGATGGTGATGGTAATGGTGTTGGTAGAGCTGTTGTTTGCGATACCGACGACGATGATGATGATGATGATGATAACAAAAGTGAATGTGCCAAGGATTGGGAAGCTACGATGCTTGCTAAAGAGCTCGAGGCAAGACAACAGAGAAGTCACGAAAATGCTAGCCCTGGTTCCTAGCGCATTAACGAGCTCTTAGATGTATTCTGTTATTTGACGAATACAATGCGCACCCAAAATTGGAGAAGTGCGGCGGCCGGTAGTGCAGCTTTTTGTGAAAACGATTGCCCATACTTGCAATTAGACTTTGATAGTTTGACTAGTCGTAGCGAGACTATGATGTAGTTTACCTTGGATTCGAATTCAAGGTTCAGAATTTAAACGAGAGAGAATAAAAGAAAAAGAAGAGAGAAGGGGGAGAGGGAGGGTAAGGGGAAAATTGCAGGATAGTCGTTCGTTTTCTACAGAAAGGATTCTAATTTCAAATGTGAATCCTAAAATACGTACAACTCTTTCGTGAACACACAATGCCTGTTTGATTTTTTTTTTGTCTATCTTTGAATTATGTATTTCAATGTTTTACTACAAGTAAAGTATGTGATTTCTTTTTTTTTTTTTTTATATATATAACAAACGATCATAACACGTCTCTTCTTCTTCTTCTTCTTTTTCTTTTTTTTTTTTCTAATTTCATTGAAAAAATTCATTTTGTAAAAATCCTTCCTTCTCTTGCAAATTCAAATTGTCACTTTCGAAAAATAATTACACGTAACGATGATTGTCGAATATTAACAATAATTATATTATTATTATTATTATTATTATCGGCCAAAGGATTTACTTCAAGTTGTTTCGTCATTTAAGATAAATCTTTAAGATACTCGCGTCGGTCTCATGTTAATTAATAATTCATCATACAATTAATAATTCATATTGTAGAGTTAATTTTATTTGGAAAAGATAAAAGATAAACAAAATAATACTCAATAAAGTTTTATATATACATATATTTATGGAATGAAATATTTTATGAAAATTATCGAAAAATTAATGATTATAATGCGTTCAAATATTTTTCTAATATTTCTTTATTTCACAATCGTAATTTGATTCATCGATTGATTTATGTTAAAGAAAAATGAATGCAAATTACGATTATTAATCGCAAAAAAGTAAGAAGAAAATTAAATAATTTTTTTTTGAATACTTTTGTTTAATTTTTATGATAATAAAATGATTTGTTTAGATTTTTCGTTCTAGTTCATGATGAAACATTTTTAAAAGCTGCACTCAAAAATGAATATAAACGTATTCGATAAAAAAAAAATGTTTCAAATGATTTAAAAGAAACAAAATAAATAAATAAATAAAAATAAATAAAAAAAAAGTACACGTTTATGTGTAATACATAATATCGACACATTATACGCGATTCACAAGTAAAATGACAAATACATTAAGTATATCAACCAACCAGACCAAGCTCAATATTTCTAGATTCTTTACAAAATACATTCTCTATTAAGTGACAAAGGACTATTAAGTAAGAGAAAGAAAACTATTAAGATATTGTAAATATTAGCCTATAATTTATTTATCTATATGAATGAGAGAACATGAGCGAATGTACCACAGTAGGATAGAATAAATAATTAAAAAAAATACTACAAAAAGAAAAAAGAAAAAAATACATCGCGAATAATAAATAAAATAAAATAAAATAAAATTAAATTAAATTAAAAAAAAAAAATTCACAGAAATAATAGAAGAAAGAAAAAAAAAACATTACAAAGGATAAGAGAGCAACTCTGTGTGAGAATGAAACGTCAAATTCAGTGGATTGTGAATGAGCATTTTAGATGCTAAAAAAATGTACCTACTACGAGGACAAAAGGAATATACAATAAAGCAAACAACGTTTTCAAAGTCTTGACAATTTTTACATAACCTATTCAAATAATTATATACGTAAACAAAAAAATTGATAATTAAATTAATAAATAATACTTTAGTAATTACGATCAAATGAATAATTAAACGATATGTTTGTAGATACGTATAGATAAAAAAAAAAAAAAAAAATAAGAAAAAGTTTTTTAGTTGCTTGTTTAAATTGAAATTTACCTCCATAGATGCATCACGTGACTGCTACGTTTCAACGAGCTCCGTTAGGTTGCACCACCGCCTGCGTATCCAACCGAAGTGACGTTTCGTTTGACACGTCGTCACACGCGCCACACTTGTAACGTTACTGCGCATGCGCCGAAGTTAAAGTTTTAACAGAAGGTTACTTCGGTTTCTTACGAACATCGTTCGTGTGTCAATTCGATTATTTTCTATTAAAATATTATTGAAAATGTCTGGAAAATCAAAAGCATTTACTAAAGAAGAAGAATTATTACTTCAAGACTTTTCACGAAATGTTTCTACCAAATCTTCGGCATTATTTTATGGCAATGCACTTATAGTATCTGCTATACCAATTTGTAAGTACAATCATTGTTTTTTACAATATTTATTATCTTTAAATGTTATTTTTTAACGTATTGAAATTTTATTCTTTTTTTTATTTTTATCTTATTTCATGGTTTTACATTTTATTCAAAGTATCTGATATGTTTGACACATTTTCAAAATTAACCTCCAATTTTATTTTTATTTATTATTTGACGTTTATTTTTTTTTTTATTTTTTTTATTTGTTATATTATCTAATCGATTAATTATTTATTACAGGGTTATTCTGGAGGATTCATATGATCGATTTATATGCCAATTTGGTTTCTTTCGTATTGGTTACTTTAATAAGCACTTATACACTTGCACTTGCTTATAAGAATACCAAATTCATTCTCAAACACAAAGTATGTGTTAAATATATATATTTTATTATATTTTTTTAAAATAATTTTAAATTACATTTTACTAAAGTTATATTTTATAAAAAAAGATTGCAGTAAAAAGAGAAGATGCAGTTACCAAGGAAATGAATCGCAAGCTTGCTGAAGATAAGAAAATGAGTAAAAAGGAAAAAGATGAAAGGTATTAAATTCTATATAACAATTATATTACTATAATTAATAAAATTGATACTTTGTTATTTATCGTATTTTTTTTTTCTTTTTAGAATTTTGTGGAAGAAAAATGAAGTAGCCGATTACGAAGCAACAACCTTTTCGATTTTCTACAACAACGCTTTATTCCTCGCTTTTGTCATAGTATCTTCGTTTTACGTTTTAAGAGCATTTTCTCCAGCAGTAAATTATATACTTTCCGTTGGTGCAACTAGTGCATTATTAGCATTGTTATCTACAGGTTCTCAATAATAATAATAATAATAATAATATTAATACAATAATTCCATCACTTTCATTTACTTTGTAAAAAAAACAATTGTCACCCATTTTATATATTCTTTGTTATATAAAAAAAAAAAAAAGAAAATTTATTGTACATAGGTAATAAATTTGTTATTATCTATAATGAAATCGTAAAATTTGAATTAAAATTACGATAAGTGATATAAATTAGATTGAAATAATATAAATGATATATATTTCTCATAATCTTTGATAAAAATTTTCTTTTATATTAAATCAAAGATTTCATCATGTCTGAAAATTATTAGAACTTTAACAACTTACGTATTTGTACTTGATTATTCATAGTCATTGACATAATTTAAAATGACGAAGCAGTAAGCACACAAGTCTTCTTTCGTTCTCTGCTTAACACAAAATGTAACGTAGTTTATGAGTCGTAGAAAAACGAGAAGATATCATACCCGGTTGTTATACGTGTATATATATATATATATATACATAACATACATATGGACCAACGTAGACCTGTCTGAAGTTTTATACGTCTCCCGTTTAAAATGGGCAAATGGCCAATAATTTATCCACCAACGAACTAAAGTCTGGACACGTATGCTTTCGTTTAAATCGTAAGCCCAATGTTTACCCGTTTGTGATAAAAATACTAAAAATGTTTGACGCGCAACAGTACCTACTCTAACTACTTCTTCTTACGAGAAAACAAAAAGAAAAGAAAAAAAAAATAACAAAATAAACATTTGTTTTTATAACAACGTATTCATTGGTTTAATAATTGACCTAGATTGTTTGTAAAAAAAAAAGAAAAAAAAGAAATAATAATAATAATGTTTCATTTAAATGAATAATCATTCGCTTGTTCATTTTTATAACGTAACAAATTTACTCACGAAAATTAATTTTAATTATTTTATTTGATATATAATAATATTAATTTAAATGAATAATCTAAGAGTAGGAAGGAAGTGTCCATCATTAGTGTAAATTAAAAAGATTATAAATCAAGAAATTCCCGTGTCTTTCAGTAAAATATTCGCATTGCTTACGAATCTGACAGGAATAAATCTCAGTTAGTTGGCTTTACTATATTTGCCATGTGTCAAGTCTTCTCACGCAATCTTGGGAAATCCATTTGCATAAACTTTCCAAAAGACTATAGCTTATTATAAGATAGATGGACGATAAAATGGTAACTTGAAACACTTGGCTGGGTATCAGTTTCAAAGTAGAGACACGTGACGTATCAAGGATATTTTTCAATATTTTCATAAACCATTCCTCTCCTATTGTAGTCGATTTCATTTCATTATTGTAACATTAAACGAATCTTTTCACAATGTTGATGACATCATTTTTTTTTTTTTTTTTTTAAAGAAACCTGTAAGATTCTTTGCAATATCATTAACAAGTATACACCTTGGATGTTATCCAAATGTATTGATTCAACTTCGTTAAATGCACAATTTACGAATGAACAACTTGTTTGCTTTGTTGTTTATCACATATTCATAAATCAATGGACCATTTCGAATCAAAAACAACGACCGGTACGTAAACATCTCAAGAACTTGACTTGACCACGTTTTTGAATACTCACAAGCAACATTGTTCAAAACAATGCAATTCGATTTAGTCAATGAACAATATAGAACTAAATTAAATGAAAATAATACTAAAAATAGATGTGTTGGCGTATTATTAACCGATTTAAACATCAACAATACGAAAGATTAGAATATTTAATGCAATAATTTATTCTAACGCTTGTAAACATTTTAATCAATCTATTTTCTCGCGTTATTAACAATGTCGTGCATTGTGAAAATAATTCAGAAAAAGACTGACTGATGATTACTACTTCCTGGCAAGAACATCAACAAGAAAATCCTGGCAAAACAATCTAAACAGGAAAAATAATTGCTATATTTGTAAACATCATCTAGGCGCCTGTGTTTTGTGATGGTTTGTTCTAAGTTCAGGCATAATGCGTACTTGAGCAATGTCGAAAAACAACCATCAACATCTTTATCTATTTTTAGAAACATTTGTTATTAAAATTAAACCGATGCAACAATATAACATCACCATTTCAAAAATTACAACATCCAAGTTATAAACAAAAATNCAGGCATAATGCGTACTTGAGCAATGTCGAAAAACAACCATCAACATCTTTATCTATTTTTAGAAACATTTGTTATTAAAATTAAACCGATGCAAAAAAAAAAAAAAAAAACTATTTCAATAAAGATAATCGCGTATCGTTGAAAAAAAAAAAAAAGAAATGATTATCTACCCTCCAAGTAATTCGAGTGCATCGAACACCATAAACAATTTCTACTACAATTTTACTGTCGTTTACATTCTGTATTAGAAAAATTGTGTTTATCTATTTTCGTAACGACGAATATTCGTATGATTTCCAATAAAAAAAAAAAATAAAAAAAAATCAAATTATTTCTTCGAAGTAAAAGAATAAAATTCAAATTATAAACATTTCATTCATTTATATCGTTGTTCATTGATATGTTTAAAAAAAAAAAAAAAAACCAAATGATTCAAAAATGCAATGTGACTTTTGAAATATACAAATAAAATAATAAAAAAACGAAAGCAACTAAAAAACAAAAAAAAAACAAATCACCCAAGAAGAAGAAGAAGAAGAAACAACCAACAATTTTTCCACGAACGAGGATTTAAAAAAGAAATAAGACAACAAAATAAATATAAAAATAAGAAAGAGAGAAAAAGAGAGGGTGAGAAGTACGTGTATATGTGTGTGTGAGAGAGAGAGAGAGAGAGAGAATGAGAGGGGGTGGGTTGGGGGAAAGAGTCCTGGAAACGAGGAGGAAAATGCCAAGTGGTGGTATCAGATCCCCGAAAATAGCGCAAGCGCCCTTCCGAAAGCTCCTAAGGCCCCCCTACATAAGATAAAAGCTTTTGATTGGTTGTAACTTGCGGGGCGCGGTCCGGAACCGGTACGCAACCGCTATATCGGATCATTCGAATATTACCGCGGCAGTTCTCGCATCTCTTGACAGTGTTCGTTAAGCATTAAGCTTGTCCGTTAGGCTCGAGTCGATTAAACAAAATTAATCAAATATATTTCTATATATATATATATACATAAATAAATAAAAAAAGAATTATATTTTTCAAACACAATAATAATCATAATAATAATAATAAAAAGTAGATAAATAATAATAATAATCGTATAACATCGACTTTTTGGGATTAATTTAATTTTTTCTTTCTTTTTTTCTTTTATTTCTTTTCTTTTCTTTTCTTTTTTAATTAATAATTATTATCATCGTCTTCGTAAATTATTTTCTAATTTATCGTCTCGATCTGTCCCGATCGTTTCTCGTTAACGAGAATTCTTCTTAATTCGCTACACGAAACAAAAAAAAAAAAGAAAAACGAAATAAAAAAAAAATATATACTTATAAAGAGGAATCATTTTCGTACAAAGAGATTTAATATCGATTTACATCAAACACGATAAATAATTCTTCAAACGTTCCATAATTATAATCGAGTGTGACCGTAAATCCAAGCGTTCGATCAATATCACTGATTGTGTCGATTTTTTTTATTATAATAATATACCGAGCCTGATATATACGTATAAAACGTATATACATATAACTACATATATATATAAGATATATATATACATATAAAAAAAAAAANAAAAAAAAAAAAAAAGAACCAAAAAAAATCCGCGTCGCCATCATGGTATGTTCAATCGATGATATCGTAAGTCGTCGCCCTGGTAACATACACGTTTTCCTTTTGTCTTCTATTACTATCTTTTATTTATTTTATTTTATTTTTTTTTTTTAATTTTAATTTTAATTTTAATTGTACTACCTCTATCTCTCTCTTTCTCCTCTCTCACTCATTCTCTCACTATTTCTATCTCGCTATTTATTTCTATTTTACTTTTGTTTCTAATTTATTCTCTCTTCGTTATTATTCGTATGTAATTTGTTGTATTTTTTTTCTTTTTTTTTTTTTTTTTTTTACGAATACATGCAAGAAAATACAATAAAAATACAAATTAAGATCTCTATTTTCGTATAACACTATTTCTAATTTCTTCTCTTTCATTACTATTTGGCATGTTTGTTTCGAACAATTATGTTAATAAGTGTTTTTTTTTTCTTATTATCTATATTTTCTATTATTTGATTTCGTGTAAGTGTTCAATTTAATTTTTAATATTTTGTTTTTTTTTTTTGGAATCTTCCTTCTATCTATTTTTCATTTCTAGTGCACGAAATTTTGTAACAAAATTGAAAACATTAAAAAGTACAAATTATTATTGTCTATCGCGAGGAATAATAAATGTAGTGAAAAATGTGTGCCATAAAAAAAAATAAAAAAATAAAAAAGAAGAGGATGATATATTTCGTTAAAGAATAAAAAATAAACGCGGGAAATTTGTTCGGAAGTAAAAAAAAAAATACAAAATTATGAAATTAAGAGGAAGCATGTTCGGGAGGTGCGAGGTCCTGGAAACGTGATTGTTTCTTAGGCGAATTTTTTATTTCGAAGACGTTTCTCCAATCACGATTGTGTCAATTGACAAATTTAGAAATTTTCTTATAAATAAATATTTGTCTTATTGTCTCAAAAACAAAAAAAACCATATAAATAACCAATGGAAAAAAAAAAAGAACAATAAATCGTAGAAGTGGAGAAACGACATCGAACAATCGATTATTTTTGATCATTTTTAAATCGATTAATCGTCCGAATAAATCCCACGACGCAACAAACTTTTTTATTATTATTAAAAATAATTCATTTATTCAATTCTCCAAAGTGTTAATAATAATTCAATTGAATCCGTTATCGTGAAATTTGTGAAGAAAAAAAAAAACATAAAACAATTCATCCAAAATTTTGATTCGAATTATCTGGTAACTGTGATTCCATACGCTGGATCGTTTTAGAAATAAAAAACAGAAAAAAAATAATAATAATAACAAAAAAAAAAAAA